AGCTCAGACACACAGCAACCCATAGACCTTGTGGGGTTGGCCCCATGCTCTTCCTGCCTGCAGTTCATGGCAGAGACACCATCTCTGTCACTGGGTACTGGTCTAGAATTGTAGAAGATGAGTTTGCTAGTTTGAAAGCAAACCAGCTGAGGAATTACCCCCACACAAATACATTGTGAGAGATTCTAAATCAAAACTACACTGTAATAGAAAAAAATAAAATAAAGGCAATAATAAAGAAGCAACAGCTTAACCTGACAAAGTCAGAATTCCACCAGATACCCTGTTGAACAGGCTTGTAGCTGCAGTCCCGTTGGAGTGATGGTTAAGGTCTACTCAAAGTGGTGAATGTTCAATGTTAAAATGGTGATTGCAGTGCTGTTGGAGTGATGGATGTGGTGTTCTCAAAGTGGTGATCCTGAGGACAGGTTGAGTCTGTCTCTGGTGGTCGAGTGGGGGTTCTAGAGCTCCTCTCCTCTGGAATCCAGTGGAAGTGGTGTCCCAGTGTCCAAGTGCCTCAGTTTATATGCCGGTAGGGATGTCGCGTTCCTCCTTTCTGGGTAGGGCATGTCCCTATCGGATGATGGAATATTAGGAGTCATTCCCAGAGATCTTGGTGGCCCATTAGCAGAGATTGCCCCCAGATGCTGTTATCAGGGCTGAATCATACTGAAGATAAAGAGCACTGCCCTACTTGGTTTAACAGCTTATGGAGATGCTGATAGAATACAGATTTTTTTGGTTACACCCTCTATGTAACCAAAGGCAATGAGGGACACACGTGTATGTCTCAAATCCATATCTGGATGATTGTAGAGCCACCTGAGGGTTCTTGGTAAGAAGGCTCTGTGAGACCAGGATGTGGCTGGAGCAGGGGCCATGTGGAGGTAGGGCAGCACTTTCCTGAGACAAATGTCCTTGTTCTGACTGCTTACTCCACATGCTGAATCAATTCTGCTGCCAGGGCTGGTGATCTGTCTTTCTCTCCCCCATTTAATGTGGTGCAGAAGCCCAAATGGTCGCTCAAACACTGATAGCCACATAGGCATCAAGCAAACCAAAGACTGTTGGCAAGATGTCATAGAGAGAAAAAACAGGCTGTGGCTGGAGAAGGGGTCGTACAGAGGGAGGCAACCCATTTTTGGGACAAACATTCTTGTTCTATATCCTGGAGACAAGCACAACATAGTACAATGAAAACACAGGAATGAGGTGACAAAGTGGGCATGGGCTGATGACCAAAGGTTGACCCAGCAGCAGTGGGCACTGGTTTGATCCAAAGCCCCATCCAGGAAGAACGTGATGGACAGATTACAGACATTCATACACACGAGAAATATTACAAAGTTATAACAAAGCCATAAGATATTGGCAGAAATTCAGCTGAAAGTCATTTAGCACAGCTTTAGCCAGAGAATGCCTGATAGCAAACTTGTGAATCACCTCTGCCCTACATGTCTGGATAGCAGCTGGGTCCTGCCTGTGCTGAGGGAGTTCATCTCATCCCCCTGTGCACCTGTGTGCAGGGCATGGACTGCAGAGCAGGTAATGAGGGGGAGGAGAAGGAAGAGGTGAGGCTGTGGGCTGTCTGAGGTGTTGTCATTTCCCTTCACAACTGTAGGCGAACTTTGGAGCCATGGTCTCCATCAGGGCCTTAGGCTGTTGC